TGCAAAAAGATTTAAAATAAAAAAGGATTTTGACATATGGTTAATAATCACTTCATGGATAAAGTAGAAAAAGAAAAGAGCTTCTTGCTCAAACCCAACTTCACTCTAGATCCCACCCCCCAAAGTCAAATAGTTGATTACTGTTATCACTTTTTGTAATGGCTCTCCTTAATGTTTTTGATAGACTGTGCTGTTGTGGTTTGAAATGTTAAAATGAAATATAGCACCACAAGGAATAAAAAAGGAAATAACAAAAAGAGACAATAGAAATTAAATGGTTTGCAGAATGGCTTAATGTATGTTGTAAAAGGGTCAGGAATAATGTTGAACTATTAATTTAATTTCAACTCACAGTAGTACTTCGAAGGAATAACATTCCAAACTGCTGTAATAGTATCTAATAAACAGTTACATACCTTTTACTGTGAATGCTAATCCACCGCACCTGAAAAGATGGTGACTGGTTCATTTACACATGATTCTCAGCACATGAAAACCCTAAAACTGCTCATAAAAACACCCAGTAAAGTTCTATAAACTTCAAGCCTAGGATACACAATGCTATAAAAAGCTATTGGGGTAAAATGTACGGCCACCATCTTTTTCTGTATGGTGGATTGGAGCTTGAACATTTAACATCCTGAAAAAGTCCACTTTCTATTCAAGAGTTCTGAGTATTATAAAAGACTGAAGATGCATCAGTGTAGCCTGAGTCATGATTACACTAAAACTGATGCCAGTAACAATCACTGCATATAACAGTTACAACAGCACTGTACCTGCTAAAATGTGAGCAAAACAAAGTACTTGTTGGGAGCGTTTTAATGTTGTCACTTAAGATGATACTTTTACTTTAGTGCAGGTCTAACCCTATATGGGCAGACCAGTATGCAAGCATAGCCCTATGCCTCAATTTTTCTACTTAGTAATAATATTGTGCTTCACTTAATCTGAAGTAGGTCCAGTGCCATTCTAAACTTTTTCACTAAGCTCTTCCATAACCCTTACCCTGTATACGAACAGTCGCATCAAAAGCTGACTCGAACTGTTCATATGAAGTATGACATGTTGGTATTTTTACAGTATTAGTACAAGTATCAGGATCAGGCAACGTGTAACTGTTTGAGTCAGGCAGGAACCGAATGTTTATTTCCTTCGGCATCACAGTTGATCCCGTCATGAATGCCAGCACTGACTTAATCCCAAGACCTGAAAGGTAACAGATTTGGAAACAGAACTGTAAAAAGCGTTTTTTACACAATAACATTAATGTTACATAGAGTGTATTTGCTGTGGTCATACTGAAGGAGTAAAACAATAAACAGTATTTGCTTGAAAATGTAGTTTATTTCCCAAATTAGACGGAATGTCACACGTTTAACATGGCCATTGCAAACACACCATGTCTATATGGGACACACCAACATGACTGCAGCTTGAGGTGAACGCTTAGTGCTTTGCTACCATTACTACAGTCTTAAAATGGCTTCCAAAAGTCATCATGGAGCTTCAAGAAACAAGTACATGTTATGATCTTAGTAGTCAAAAAGAACAACATTTTGCCCTGATACCAGTTTTTAATACCATGATAAATATTATAAAACATTACCCTAATAATTTTAGAAATGAAAAGTGACATTCTTTTCTCACAATTGTTTACATTTAACCACAGACCACGAGTTTGGACACAAGGAGTTTATTGTCAATGAAACGAAACTGAGATGCAAGAACTAAAGGACAATACAACTCCAACACCTTAAGGGTGGGAGGGATAGGGTAACGAAATTAAGCTTGACCGCGTTACAAGAGATTATGACTGACTGATTCGTAATGTACAATGCTTATATAATAGCTATGACGTAATATCACTTAACAATTAACCATCCTCACAGGGTGACGATTGACACAATTGTTTACATTTAACCACAGACCACGAGTTTGGACACAAGGAGTTTATTGTCAATGAAACGAAACTGAGAGGCAAGAACTAAAGGACAATACAACTCCAACACCCAAACCCAAACGAGAAGGTGGTCTGTGGTTAAAGGAAAGATGATAGACAAAATACAAAATCGTGTGACATATATAGTGAAAGAAAGACGAAATAATTTGACTAAAACTAACATTACGCTGAAGACAATTGATTAATTTTAGCGGCCATAGAATTAACCGCCCGGCATTTCTGGGCGTGGGACATCTCTAAATAAACTAAATAAGCGTCACTGCTCCAATAGCCCTGAAACTTAATATGTTCCGCGGGAACATTGCATTCAAAAACGAACGTGGCACCGCCTCGCCGAAAACTATGGGGCGAATAAGCTCGTGGATCTAAACCTAACGCTGCAACCACCCGTGCTAAAAAAACTGGAAAAATGACGAAAAGTAAGAGGGCGCGTAATGTGATCGTCACTTGACAAAACGGAAAAAAGTGGATCGGATGGACGAACTGCGTTGAGACGAAGATGATGTTGAAGAGCGGCAACAGGACAAAGCGGAGAACCTGGGATACTAGGGAGTGGAACGCATAAGGCCCGCTGAAAAAACTGAATGGTCTTAGTCGCGTGAATGTTGAGAAAAGCCCCGTGCTGTGACGTGAAAATCCGAACGCCGTGGGACTTTAGGGGAATTAACACACGCCGATGGAACAACCAAATTAGACTTTCGTAAAAAAGAAAAGAATGGTACTAGAAACAAAGCCCGCATGGCTGCCTGAAGTGGCTGAGTGGCGTCAAACAGAGAAACCATACGCGAAAGTAGAATGGGTGTGATTGCTAGTTTGTGCACTGGAGCCGCCCCCAAAATCCGCTTACAGCCGCGTAAGACTAACTGGAAAGAATACAAATTTTCCCACCCAGGGGGAAAACCAAACAAACGATGATAATGCTTAATTGTAGAGATATGGTTCTAGTCCCGTAAGACCGACCCGTAGCCGAAAGAAAAGAAATATATCTTAAAATAGTTTCGGGTTGGACCGGCAACGGTCGCACGCCGAGATCGCTACAAAACTGAGTAAAAATACGAAAATGTGACTGCATATTTTGATGCGTCGACGCAGCATGAGCTAACCTTATTAGCCTATGCGAAAAAATATCTAAAAACTGGAGACCTTGTGTGCTACCTAAAAAAAAAACAAGGAGAAAAAAAAGAAAAATATATATGAGCGCACAGCCTAAAACGAAGTTAATACCTAGGTAGCAATGAATAACTGGCAAACCCTACACGAGAGAGAGAATTACTGAACTTGAAATTTAAAATAATCACTGGATACGGTTTGGAAAGTGTACTGTCTGTCTAAGCGGGCGGCAGATTCGTAAAATAGTTCACGGTAAGCAGAGTCTGTGCGCCAACGGCTTAGGGAATCAGCTAAAACGTTATGGACGCCTGGAATGTGACGAGCAGTCAACTCCCAATCATGGACTGCAGCTGTGAACCATAGTTCCCGTAAACAACGTTGCATGAAGGGATCCTTCGAAGAACCAGAGTTGACAACGGTAACAGCTGCTTCGTTGTCGCATGACACAAGGAATTTGCGATGGGAAAGCTGGGGAGCCCAAAACTTAACAGCTACGACAATAGTATAGAGTTCTAAAGCGGTGATATGATCTGTGCTGCGCACAATGTCCTCGGGAAACTCGCACGTGAAACATTCGTTAAGACAGGTCGCCCCGCCAGCGTGCAATGATGCATCCGTGGTAAACTGAAGATCGTCAAATTCCCACTGTTGAGGTTTGATGAGTGAAGTGCCATTGAAAATTGGTAGGAAAGCCAGCCACCAAGCTATGTCAGCTTTCATGTCCGCTGAAACCGGAAGTCGGACGCGTGTTGATGGAAAAGCACATAGACTGTTCAATAAAGGCGACATGAAAATGCGTCCTGGTTTAACACAAGCAGTCACGAAAGAGAGTTTTCCAAGAAGAGACTGCAATTGCTTTAAGGTGTAAAATTCGCGGGAAGACCAAGAAGACAGTTCAGAGAGCAGATCCTTGACTCGGGTTTCCGTAACTGAGAGTGTAAAATGTTCTGAATCAACCTCCACACCAAGACAAACCATGTTGGTGGAAGGTGGACAATCTTTGTCAGGTGAAATCTGCAGTCCGAGTTCGTGAAGTAGATCCTGTAAACTCTGAAAGGCACGTGAAGCCCGCTCTGGGGTGTCGGCGCCGTAAAAATCATCGAGATAAACGTCAGCGAAGAAACCGAGTTCAGTAAAGCAATGAACTACCGCTTTAGTTCTCTGGCAAATCATAGCGGATGTCCTCAATCCGAAAGGACAGCGAGTGTCAAAGTAGAGCATGTTCTTATGGCGGAAGCCAAGATAAAAATAATCCTTGGGGTCAATAGGTAACTGGCAGTACGCTTGCTGAGGATCGAGCTTGTACAGTAAACAACCCCTGCCGTGTTGTAAAATGAATTCGCAAAGCCAGTCGATGCCAGGAAGTCGTAGCTTGTAATGTTCGTGTAAATGCGTGTTTGCAGGAATACCGCTGTTAACGCGAGCAAGAAGGAGGAAAACTCAAATCCATGACCACGCGTCTTTTCGTTGAACCGCGCTTCGGTACAGTCTGCAGGGGAGAACAGATTAATGGCCGTGGCAGGGGATTATGATTAAATGGACCAGCAATAGCGCCATGCTCAAGTTCGGTAGCAATGTAAAAATCAACATGCTCCAAGAAGGAAATCGCTGAAGGATGATTAGAAGCCGATGATTCGGGTAACTTATCAGCGGTGTAATTTATCGGCCATCCGTAGCGTAAAAATTTCACAACGTTTTCATCGTGATAGTCCTGTAATCTGGAATCCCAAGCCGCGATGTTGAGGGGCGTATCCACGGGAACCTTTGCCCCAAACGCGTTAGGCAAGTCATGGTTTGAGGCTAAAATATGTTTCATGATCAGTGAAACGGATGCCAAACTGTCAGAGTGAGAGGTTGAGAAAGCGTCAGCCGTAAAACTGTCCGTGTCCAAAACGACCTGAGTTGATTGTTGTGCAATGTCATGTAGTCAAAGTGAATTTTGCGGAGGTGGAATAGGATTTCTCCTTTTCGGGCAGTGTAACATTGGATGCTCCTTGGTACAGACGCGACATTTGTGACGGGCGTTGAAGACATCTTGGTTTGATTTGTCACAAGAACACGAGCCGTAGTAGTTCCATTGACGACAGGATTTTTCTGCTTCGGGTTTTGCTGGTGGACGCTGTTGATATGAAGACGCCTGAATGGAAGAAGATACCGGGTTGACGTTGGAACTGTACTGAGAAGAGCGAAGATCGGAATGCTTGAAAAAGGTGACTGCTTTGTCCCGAATCTCGCTAGAGCTCGTCCATTCCAGACGCCATAACTCGATCTGCTTTGCAATATGCGAATGAAAAGAACGCACACTTGACCAGGAGTAACTTGAGGCCTTGAGCATCAACAACTCAAGATAGTCAAGCATGGCGCATTTCTTAGGAATATCATAAGTTTTGATCATCGCTAAAAAACCCGCTACGAACTGTGGTAAATCAATCTTATCAGAATCGATACTATTGCTAGTACCTGGGGCAAACTCGTGTGGCCGGTCGACAGCGCGCTTCTTCCTAATCGCTCCAGCAGACACAGATGAACTTGTTTTCTCGCCAGGTTCGCCATCGGAAGAAGAACTGGGGCGTGGCGCAGACGTAAAACTTGGAGCTCTAAAGCAAGATTCTCTTTTTGTAGCTCCGCCAGACGAATCTCCTGTTGAAGATCGCACTCTGGAGAAGCTGAAGGTTGTGGTAGCTGATGATGAGTGCTTGTAGACTGTGTAATCTTGCCTGGTTTCTGGTCTGTAGGAGGGAGAACGTCTTGACCTAGATCGTAAAGATTGAGGTCATGAAGCTTGCTTTGTAGCTCCGCAAACTGACAACCCGGATCTGATACTTTTGTAGGTTGCTTTGAAGACGCGCGCTTCACTGTCCTTTTGGTTTCTTTTCTATCGTGATCTTGTAAATCAGAAAATAGCGAAGGTGAGGGTAAAAGGTAGCGTTCGTCCACGTCATCAAAATTATCTAGTTGGCGTTGGAGATCCTCGTATATGAAGTTAGGATCCCTGTATGCTGGCTTTGGCAGTCTAGATGAACGCCTAGGTTGTTGGGGATCTGTGTAAGAAGCTTGAGAATTTGATTGAGCCATGATGAAGAAAGAGCTTGGTCGATAACGAAATTAAGCTTGACCGCGTTACAAGAGATTATGACTGACTGATTCGTAATGTACAATGCTTATATAATAGCTATGACGTAATAACACTTAACAATTAACCATCCTCACAGGGTGACGATTGACACCACCATATCTTCCTTGTCATATGAACCTACCCTCTTTTCTACTGCCAACTGTTTCAAGGTAGTCAAGCAGGAACTTGTAAGCAATGTTGTCTCTTTCACTGTCTGTTGTAGTTGGATCAATGATTATCCTCTTTCGCAGGATGTCAACATCAATCACAGCCTCATTTACAGTAGGAAACACTAGGGACACTACTTTAGGATGGTCACACAGCAAGGAATTGAGCTCCAAGACATCAAGGCCTTTTCTGATTTCCTCTAACTCTCTCAATCTCTTATGAATCACATGATAGACCATGATTTCATAGGCAATCTGTGCAACATTATGAATGGTCAGGATTGCAGCACTGCAGCCACTGTCGCCCATCAGGTTGTTTACCTTCTCATCTGAATTTAGGCTACTTATCTCACTTTCATCTACATCAGCCATGTGTTTTAACACCTGCCACACATCCAAATCTAGCACATCTTCTAGACAAACTACCTTCGAGGCACTCTCAGCACAGCCAGTCGACAAAAACTCCTTGACAGGTTTAGCTAATCCTGTTATCCAAACCTCTCCATGAATAATGGCATGTGCCATAACTTGTCCGACCATTCTAAAATACCCATTTAACACAAGCTGTTGTGAGTGGACAGGTACTTTGTGGTCCTCACAGCCTTCAAAAATTTGAGGCTCAATACAAGCAAGCACAGTTTCTACAGCAATTGAAAGAAACTCTTTCAATGGTCCACCTACGTCTGCAGCTTCTTCCTCATAGTCCTCATCTTCTCCATCTTTAGAAACAAAATACACCACTGGTGGCCTTTGTAGCTTCACAGAACTGTTCTTGTAAATTCTGCAAAGTTCACGAAATGCATTTTTAGAGCGGTTGAAGGTAATTGCCATAGTAGGACCCATGTTTTTAACAACACTTTCTTTAAAAATCTTCAGAATGTGATCAGCTGACAAACCTGCAACAAATACATGTCATAATGGCTACATGTACATGGTATCTTCAAGGGAACAAAATACTGGGCATAATACAGTAATTCTATTCCATTGGTCATTGGAAATTGAATACCTTTCCCAACATTAATACCATTCCACTACTTGAAAAATGATACGGTAAAGGAGTTTGATTGAGACTTGGTACAGACTGTTTGAAACTTTTTCAGATCCTGTAACAACTTAATACTGTCCATGAATACCACCTAAGATTGTAATCTGCACCAAGGATTTCTATGGACGAGAGCCACTAACCAACCCTACAGAAAATATAGTGAATGTTATGTTATGAAAAAGTTAATGATTTATTCATGTACCCTCAGTCTTCTTTGATGGATTTTGGTATTGAAGCATAGGAGGAGGTTCCCAGCCATCATCTACATCGATAGATACAAGAGTAGGGCCCAAGTTGCCATCTCCATCTGGGAGGAAAAAACATACAGGTATAACCAAAAGAGTTAGTGCCTTCATTTCTCTAGATGAATCAAATCTCTTACAAAGAGTCATGCCTAGATGGGATCATGATGCATATGTTTCTGAATGGTTTGCTTGTTGTCCCATTTCAGACCAAAGGAGTAAGAGTCAATACAGTTCAAATAGATAACGAACAACTCCCTAGAGTCAGGACATCAAAAGGTCAGAAATGAAACAGGGTAATCCTAGTATGAAGTGATCTGAGAAAGGCATGTGCACTGTGCTTCCAAATAATAAAAATATTATTTCAAACCAGCTAAAGTTACAGTAACTGATTTGACACAAAACAAAAACAACAATTTAAATTACTTTGCTAAAATTACTTTACTTAAATTACTTTGAACAAGATACACATTCTAAACTTAATGAACCACAAATAAAACATCCCATAAGGTGACACTTGCATTAGAGAAACACATCATCACTTTATATTGGTACTGACCAGCTGTTTTCTTAACAAGGGTTTCAATAGCATCCTCAACATTTATGCTAAACTGAAGTGCATCTTCAAGAGCAGCTTCAGTTTCAGTTGGAAAAATCTCCTTAAGCTTCAACATATCTGGAAAGAAAATGAACGTCAACAATTATTAGGGTACATGTCAAAAAAGGCTAGGTTTTCATTTTATTTATCAGCAAAAGTTGATTTTTTATCTTACCACTGGTTTTGCTTTCCATCCCCGGTGTTTTCTGTCGAACAAATCAAATTTTATTTCAGAATTTGGTTGATCAAAATTCACCACATAAGGGCACGAAAAATGCATGTAGAATATTTTTCAATTACTTTACAGCCTTCCTCAATGTTTAAACAAAATAATGTATGATTACACATGATAAAAACCACTTAATAACATGGATGATAATTAAAACTTTTAAACAACTACTTGGATTTATAACTTAAAATTTCAGTGACATGTCTTGAGACGTTCAAAAAAGATTCAATGTATGGCTTGTCCACCAAACAAGTGACCTTTGTAGAGAGGTGGCTGTTAGTGGAGGTTCGATTTTAGGTAGTTGGCGGTTAATAATGGGTAACCTTAGAGTACCCACTACATCCAAAACACATACCTCACCAGAAGCTGAAGCTCTGACAATAAACCTTTCAATTCCATCATCTTTTGGACAATCCCCATCTTCTTCACTACAGTTCTTGGCTGAGGAGGCACTGTAATTATTATAATATCAACACTTTGTTGTGGGAAGCATGGAAATGAATAACCCAAACTTTAATACCAACTGCTTAAAATACCAAAAATTAATAAATAAAGATCACAAACCAGTGACGTTGTAGTAAAATAAACTTACCTTGGACAATCTTCCTGATGCTTTCTAACTTCTGTAACTGGTATGTCCAAACTGCAGTTTATGCATGACACGTTTGGTGCAGAACTAACACTCTTGAATCATTGCAAAGAGAAAAGAGAAATATCCATAACCTCATTCAAAGATTTTAAGGGTTTGGTTATGAGCTGGAAAGATCATAGAACATATTACCCTGAATAAGCACCCAGGGTGCTTATTGCAAGGAGGGCAGAAGGTTTCCTGTTGGTAGTAAAGCGTACCTCAGTCTCAGTTATCATCAGTTATCGTTGACAGCAAGGCAAATCATTTTCAAGAAAGGGGGCCAAAATATGGAATTGCATACTTCCAAGTACTCCAAAACTCTCATAGCTTTAAAAAAATACATGATTGACTACTTCAAGCACTTTCACAGGCAGATGACTATCCTGCTCTCTGTACCTTATCAGGACAAATACAACATATTGATTGTCTATATCTCACCCATTAATTATCATTGCAACCATCTTAACAGTGTAATTGTAAGTTTCTGATTTGTATTTTGTATTCCAGTTAGTATTGTTTATGTTATCTCCTTCTCCAATTTGTACATTTTATATAAATTAATTACGTTCACTTATCAATTCCATAAACATTGCCCAACTAGACTAGCTTTTGCGATGTGTGGGTAGTTAAAATATTGACATTTGTAAACATAGATAAACCAATAAAATGAAATGAAATGAAACTGACAAAATGATCTTGTACCTTTCATGGACAATATAACAGACGGGGACAGACTTATCAAATAATTCCAAACAAACTCATTTACAGAATGTACAGTATTAATATCATGTTATTTAACTTTCAAGAAAAGATGACGCCCTAATAATTTCTTACCTCTAAGCTGTTGGTAATTGACGGTGTCGTACTCATATCCAAGTTTCTCTGAAGTGGTCGTACAAAAGCTATTGCCTGTCCCAGGCCTGCGATGTCACGGAGAAACCCAACAGAATACCCACTCGGCAGTGGTTCCATCAATATCAGCTCGTTTGACATTCCTCGTCTCAAAATCTCAAAACCACCGCCACTGGCAAGTTTAGGGTAGACTTCCTCGAGTTTGGTTTTCACCTCCGTTGCATTAGCCTTAGAATAAAAACAAACTTTTTTTTTACCCAGACCAGCAACTTGCAGCTTCCATTTCATTTCCTTCGACGGAACAACCTCTTGTCTACAGTAGGACAGACATAGAAATTCATGTGTCCATGTTTCCCGAGGCTTGAAAAAAACGGAAGCATGTCTTCCTTTCTTTTTTGGCAGACCTGCAATTTGATTTCGACTTTGTGGAGCGGGACGTCGAGTACTACCAGGGCCATCATCGTATGCACTGAAAAGCGCGCGAAGATTTGAGGCAATTCTATCACTTCTGTTTGCATTAGGACCATTTGGAGTGGATGTACTATCAACCAGAGGAATATTATCGCTTAAGGAACCAGAAAGCAAGTCTGTTGCCTCTCTTAAAAGCTTTAAACCTTGATCAATACTCGTCTTCTTATCCGTCTTATCAACATTGTCCACCATTTTTGACAGCGGACGGCAGGAAATAACAGCGTGCCTGAGAACGATAGCCATTCCCCTGGTCGGCCGTCTAATTTTTGTTCACTGAGTGCCATGCAGGATATGACGTAAGCATAATACAACTTGACAAAATGAAACAGATCAAAATATGGGAACGCAAAACACAATACAAAAATTCGACAAAACATCACCACAGAAGTCTAAAACGTCATGTTAGAATAGCAGAATACAATTTCTAATATTGTCAAGTGTAAGTACATAATAGAATGTGTAAATGCATAACAAAATACAGAATGGACAAATGGAATTTACAATGCTAAATAGAGAGGACATAATACCAATTGAGTCTAAAAGATCATAATTTTGGCGGTAATCACCCCTCATAGATGTGACCATGTGACATCTGGCTAAGTGACGACATACCAGCTTAGTGACCAGGCCCTGTGTATCTGATAATGCGTGGTCGAAAGAATTCAATTCAAGATGCATGTATTCAATTCAAAATGCCATGTTATCGGAAATCGCACATCCGGCTGAAGGAAGTTTCCAATTCAACAATTAGACTGGTTGCAAGTAACAAAAGAAATAAACAAGCGAAGTACGATTTGTTTTGTATTTGGAAAGGCTCGTGTAAAGACGTTATTACACAAATTCAACAAGCACCAGAGCAGGAGTATCTTTTACCCAATTCGCCTGTGTTTCTGTTTACTTGTTTTGCATTTTGGAAGCAGAAGGTATTTAAGATTTCTTTTCCTGATCAATGTTTAAGTAACGCTGTTATTTACAATTCAGAGAGAGAAGAGACCTTTTTTTCGCAGAATGAAATGCCAGCGGAGCGTTTTATTTTAGGAATAATGATGGAGTGTTGCCGATATTTCTATGGTGCAATGATGCCCGATTGTAACTTTCAGTCACAATGGCAACAAAATAAATACATGGTTACTGTGTGTTAAAGGGGCCACACAAAGAGAAAACGCATTGAGGGAGAGGTCTATGGTGGCCTAAGACTGCCATAACAAAAAACCCAATTTCTTAACAAGTTTCTTGTAAATTTATGTTTTGTTTGCTTGTTTGGGTGTATTGGTTTATTTTTAGTTTAATGTTAGTTTGTTTGCTTTTTTTTTGTTTAATCACAGAAATATTTTAACTTAAAATAAAAAGTAAATTAATTCAGAAATTATTTTCAATGAAAAGAAAATATCTCAAGAACAATAAAAACGAAATGATTTTAAAATGAATTTATTTCGAATGAAAACAAAAGTTTGTGTTTCAAAAAAAATTGAAACTAATTTTAAGAAAATATATTTGAAAAAAAAGGCATTGTAAACTAAATTAAAAGCAAAATTGTCCATGGCCTATCGTTGCCATAGAAAAAAAAAAAAAAAAAAAAAAAAACGGCGTGTGGCCTATCGTTGCCATAGACCAGAATGCATTTCGGTGCATCTGTTTTCAAGATGGCGACTACACAGATTCAAAACGAAGAGTCGCAGCAGGACGATGATCTAAAAGATATGTTAGCTCGCTATTTAAAAGAACATCTTAGATGCAGAGAGATCTTAGACTTCGTGTGTAGGGATTTTGGTCAATATGCGTGGAGTCTTCGGTCTCTGGACAGACGACTTGAGTATTTTAACATCCGGTACACTGACTGTAATGTTGAGCTTGGCGAGATCGAAACTGCGGTGAGACAAGAAATGGATGGCCCAGGTAAACTTCTTGGATATAGAGCTTTGCACAAAAAACTAAGGCAGGTTCACGAGCTAAATGTTCCACGAGACGTTGTGTATGCAGTGATGTACAGTGTGGACCCAGTTGCTCTCAAGGAAAGAGCTCCTCGATTCAAGAAGAAGCCTAAAAGCAACTTCACATCACGTGGCTCAAACTGGGTGCACTCACTTGATGGTCACGATAAACTGATGGGATACCAGAACAGTACTTTTCTAATTGCAGTATATGGTTGTATGGATACGTGCAGCAGGAAAATATTGTGGATAAGAGTTTGGATGAGCAACAGCGACCCCAATATCATCGGCAGATTTTATCGTGAACATTTATTCAAATCAAGGAAAATTGCAGCCAAACTGAGACTGGATAGAGGGTCAGAAACAGGAGTTATGGCCACAATGCATGCTTTTCTTCGACAACACCATGGTGACATGGACCCCTTAGAAACAGTTATCTATGGGCCATCAACTTCAAATCAGGTAAGGTTTGAGGCAGCAGAACTGCCTCAGGACCTTATAAATCGATGAGGCGTACAATGTAAACACAACTTTAGTTTAATCCACAGAAATTCATGTACACGCTGTCAATCGCTACCATTGATTTTCCTTGCAAACGATTCCTTGTGAACAATGTCTTGATTCGGTGATACGATAATGCGATGTGAACGTGATAGTGCAATATAGGCTTAACTGATGATGCGATGCGGCGATGCGATGCGGTAAAGTAAAAAAACTAAAGGAAGAAACAGAAAACTAGCATTACAAAGGCGAGCTCGGGCGATACGAAATTACAATACAATAAGGTAAAGCAGTAATTCTGAAACTTACATCTGTGTCCTTGTTCCGTTATTGACATAAACCTTAGTCCTTAATCCGTTCCTTGATTCCTTTTAACCGTAGAATGTTCAACTTAAAAACTAACACAGCGAAAAGCGTTCGAAACGTTCAACTCGGCGTGGTCATCCGGGACCGCTCGGTCCCAGGCCACCGCAACGTAAGTTTCTGTCATGTCACGCAGTGTCACGCGCAATGCTGCCGTGACATTCCGGCCCCTAAACGTCCGGGGCGTTTACTTCTCCTGATCTCCTTCCTGTTCCTCTTTGGGCAGGATTAGGACAAGCTTGTTGATTGGTCTTCTAAGCGTAGTTTCTCGTGTTTTGACGACAACAGATCTGATAAGGCCCTGGGCGTCCGGCTCTACTCGCACAACGCGGGCCAACGACCAGGCATTACGTGGGACGTTCTCTTCTCGGATTATCACGACATCCCCTTCTACCAGGCTTCGCTGAGGATGTTGCCATTTGCGCCTTTCCTGCATCACAACGAGGTACTCCTTCTTCCACCGAGTCCAAAATAGATTTGCCAAGTATTGCACTCTTCGCCACTGACGACGCATGTATACATCGTTCTTCTGGAACTTCCCTGGGGGTGGCAGTATCACATTTGACTTGGTCGTCAGGATATGGTTGGGAGTAAGCGGTTCAAGATCGTCAGGTTCTCCAGACACTGTCGTCAAGGGCCTAGAGTTGATAACAGCCTCAACTTCACACAAGAGGGTGCGGAATGATTCTTCGTCCAAACAATGACCGTACTCATCCATTAGGCCAGCAAGAATCTTCCTTGTAGTTTTGATCTGACGCTCCCACACGCCGCCCATGTGGCTAGCGGCGGGTGGGTTAAAGGTCCAATCAATGTTCTCTCTCTGTAGCTTGGCTCGGATTTCTTCATGATCCATCTCTTGTATAGCTTGGAGCAGTTCATTGTGTGCGCCAACAAAATTTGAACCGTTGTCGCTTCTCATTTCCCTCACCAGACCACATCGTGCTATGAAGCGCCGAAGTGCTTGAATAAATGAACTTGACTCGAGGGTACTTGCGACTTCAATATGGACTGCTCGGCTGACCAAACATGTGAAGAGGGCACCATACCTCTTCACCTCCCTGCGTCCTTCCTTAATTAAGAAGGGGCCAAAGTAGTCGACGCCCGTGTATGTAAATGGTGGTGCTGGAGAGATGCGATCCCTGGGTAGATCAGCCATCTTTTGCTCGCCTGGCTTGCCATGTTTGCGGCGACAGAAGACACACTTTGAGGTTACATGGCGCACTGCTGCGTTAACTTTGATGATCCAATACTTCTCTCGAAGGGTTGCAATGACGTGGCTACGTCCAGCGTGGCCCAACCGTTTATGAGCGTGACGGATGAGAAGAGTTGTAACATGACTCTTCTTTGGTAAAATGACTGGGTGCTTTGTCTCAAATGGTAAATCTGCACGTCTGAGTCGACCTCCAACTCTGAGGACACCATTGTCCAGGAAGGGATCAAGGCGACAAACAGGACTGTCATTCTTTATACCTCCTTTCTTCTGCCCTCGCAGCTTATTCTTCTCGCCTTCCTTAAGAGCGTGGACTTCCTTGCCAAAGGCTGAAGCCTGAACAAACTTCAGAATAGCCAATTCAGCTGTCGCTAGATCTTGTACAGTAAGAGGCGAGTGTGGCTCTTCGGCACTCTTAAACTTGACTACCTTGGTCGTTGCAGGCAATCTCTGGTCTGCAAGGTTTCTGTCGCCACTTGTGGTTCCATTCTTGACATTTAAACGATTGTTACGCCGCTTTTCGCAAGAAGGTCTCTTTAACTCGCAGGAACACGGCTACGGCCCTTCGCAAACGATGCCAATCAGAAAAGCTTTTGATCAGCTTGTTTGTGGTGTTATCCACCTGATTAATGCTGACCGCACTGCTTGTCGTTACCTTCCTTACTTCTGGATCATCATCTGGGACTTGGCCCAACGTGGATGGTTGTTGCGCCACTCGTTCTCGGGTTTCCATAAGAATTCTGGACCTTCTAACCAACGCTGCCCTTCTAAAAGAGCAAGTCCATTAAGGCCCCTTGAAGCATCATCTGCGGATTCTCCTTAGTGGCTACATACTTCCACTGATTCGGTGTGAATGGTCGCGAATGAGCTGCACCCGGTTTGCAACAAAAACATGAAACCACTGTCGTTCATTAGCGATATATAGCGCAACACAGTGGTGGAATCTGTATGGTACAGAAACTCTGGGTCGCCATCCACCTCTCTTTTTAACATTTCTCCAACTCGGATGGATGTGGTAGCAGCAGTTAGCTCGAGACGCGGAATTGTGACTGACTTGATAGGGGCGAGACGTGATTTCCCCATTAGGAACGTACAGTGAACGCGATTGCTGTCATCACACAGCCGTAGGTAAGCAACAGTTCCATATCCCATGGAACTTGCATCAGAGAAGAGATGTACTTGCTGGGATGTCACGGTTCCGAACTCTGGCGGCTTGACACACCTGTTTGCCTTGAACTGTCTAGCAGAGGAAGCTCGCTTAGCCACTTGGCCCATCTAGTTTGGTACTGATCAGGAATGGTGTCATCCCATCCGATATCTTCACGACAAAGGTCCTGAAGTATCTTCTTGGCCAGAAGTGTGAATGGCGCGGCAAAGCCCAGTGGGTCATAAATTGATGAGATAACAGATAAGATGCCCCTTCTTGTTGGCGGCTTATCATTAATAACTATACGGAACTTGAAGACGTCAGATTCTACGCACCATAGCACCCCAAGGGCGCGTTCAACAAGTAGACGGTCGTGACCCAGATCAAGGTCTCTAGCTTCCTTAGAACGCTTCTCCGTTGGGATGGATTCCAGAACAGCACGATTATTGCTTGTAAATTTTGTTAAGTTGAAGCCTCCATGCTCACATGCTTGGCATAGACCTTGGATAAGCTCAATGGCTGTCTGCTCGTCTTTAACTGAACGAAGGCAATCATCTACATAGAAATTTCGGCGGATAGTATCCGCTGCAAGTGGACCACTTTCGTGTTCCATGTCCTTAGCAGTCTCCTTCAATGCAAAGTTGCAACAGCTTGGGGATGAAGCTGCTCCGAAGAGGTGCACCGTCATTTGATATTCCTGGATGGGCAACTCCAGATTGCCATCGGGCCACCAGAGGAACCTGAGGAAGTCACACTGGTCATCGGGCACCTGAACCTGGTGAAACATCGCCTCTATATCCGCCATGAATGCCACGGGCTCTTGGCGAAAGCGTGTAAGAACTCCAATCAGAGAGTTGGTAAGGTCAGGGCCTGACATTAGTTGGTCGTTCAAGGAAGTGCTTCCGTGTCTAGCGCTACAGTCGAAGACCACACGTATTTTCTGGGGCTTCCTAGGGTGGTAGATACCATGGTGTGGCAGGTACCATACTTTGCCAGGGCCAGCTTCCAGACGGTCATCTGGCACTCATTGTGCATAACCCTTTGCAATCATTTCATTCACAAAGTTGACATAGTCATCTCGATAGCTCTCGTCACGTAACATCTTCTTTCTCTGCCAAGTTGCTCGTTTCAGCGCTTGAACTCGGTTGTTTGGCATTGTCACCTGAGGGTCTCTGAATGGCAATGGTATCACATAATGGCCGTCGCGAAGGTGGACGTTTTCCCTTATCCTACTGATGAACTTCTTGTCCTCTTGGGAGTAGCCGTATTCATCAGGGCTAGACTTGTGATCGTTGAAATCTAGTTCAAACATTTGCTGTATGGCTTGGGGTGATATCACCTCTTTGACTGATTCCGCTTCCCGTACCGTGATTCTGGGACTTGAAACGTTCTCCACATACAAAGGCCCAGACAGAGTCCAGCCATGGCGCAATCGCATTGCATATGGCCCCTTGACATCACTTGGTACAACCTCTAGAGGTTCTATAGCTGCAGGACAATTACTGCCGATTAATAGGCCAATCTCCAAGTTCGGTATAAACTCTGGTATCTTCTCAGCAACACTGCGAAGATGCTCCCACCGTTTGACTCCTTCAGGGGTAGGAATCTGCTGTTCGGTCACTGGTATCTCGAATCTCGTGTAAGACTGCGGTAACTCAACTGGATTCTTGCCTTCCATGTCCATCACCAACAAGTCAGAGACAACAGTGGTAGATATCAGGCTTTGGCCATGCATAGTGCCCAGCTGTAACTGCGTTTTTTTGCCATCAACGCTCATCTCTCTAAGACTCTCAGTCAGAAAGCAACCACTGCTGCCATTGTCGTAGAAGGCATAAGTGGTGACGGTCTCGTCGCTGCCTTTCTTCTTTACACGTACTGGTAGGATGGCATGAAGCACAACTGATTCTGCAGGTCTAGCGGTACTACAGGAGGTAGATTGAAGGTTGGTACAGGCATTGCCCACTGCCTTGTCATTCTCTTGTTTACTATTGTCCCTTGGTGGAATTTGGAATCCACTAATGTGAAGGGCTGAGGGATGCAGTCGTCCACAGAATTTACATTTCCGTCTGTTTGGGCAGTTCCTTGAGATGTGGTTCGTTCCGTAACATCCAAAACACATGTTCCTTTCTCTCAGGAAGTCTCTCTTAAGTTCTGGCGTCTTCTTGTTGAATAAATCACAGTCATCCAAATCATGAGCAAGGTTGCAAAGGTAAAATGGGGGGCGACCATAGTTACTTGGAGGCCCGGCCCCGTATACAGCCGGAGGCACGACACCTCCAAGTGGTGTCGTCACAAAACTGTTTTCCTTTGGTCTCCATGGAATTCCCGGTTTCCTTGGTGGCCTTTTTCCTTTACCGGGCGGTTCCTTTTCTTTGGGTTTAACATCTTCCTTACTCTTGCTAAGGGCCTCTTTGCCGAACACCGGGTCATTGGCAGACTCTGACGCATACTCCACAAATTTGGCAAGGTCTGCGAAACACGTTACACCGTCCTCCCTTCTCTTCTTCTTTAACACCTGATCTCTCCATTTAGCTTGCAAGTTGGCCGGAAGCTTGGAGACCACCGACTGCATGTTTCGTGCATGGTCGAGCACACGCATGTATGAAATACTCTTCATAGCAATGTTACACTTTGTCAAGAATATTGACAGTCGCTTCAAGCCTTGGTTGTCATCATATCTAACAGGAGCCCAGTGGATGATTTTGTTGAGGTAAGCAGTGGAAATCTTGTATGGGTCACCGTATTCTTTCTGAGGCAGTCGTCTGGCTTCCGTGTAACCTGCTTCAGGGTCCATGTGTAGACATCCTTGAATAAGGTCTGCCGGTTCACCTTGAAGATGCTGATTTAGATAATACAAGAGATCAGAACCGGTAGATGCTTTGGAGCAGATACGTGTATCAAAGGCCATAACAAAGGTCTTGTACTCGATTGGGTCACCTGTGAACTTAGTTATTGTTGGTTGAGGCAGTGTCATAGCAGCTGTTAACTGTTGGTGTGTTGCAATAATTGTCTCATTTTGCTTCTGCTGTAACTCGATAACATTCTGAAAGGTACGTTCTGCTAACTGAGGTGATCGAGCTTCAGAGACTCCATGACTGCTTTCCTTAGAAGTTTCCCGGAGACCATTACCAGTCAACCGTGTCGATGAAATTCCATCTGCAAACAAGCCAGGGATGAAATCTGCGGCCTTGGGATTCTTGGGGGAGCTGCTAACCTCCGTATTTATAGCTGGTGTCGTCTCTTTGGTGGCAGAGGAGCCAAGCGGGTTGCGACTCACAGTAACGTTGTCAGGTGACGATTTTGCTGCAGACCTTAACACAATAGGTGTAAAGGAGGCAGCCACTGAAGGTGGACTTGAGCCAAGTGCAGGTGGGGGAGCCTCGTGTTCCTTATCAATTTCACTCAATGTCTTCTCCCTTGCTTCGGTCTTTGCTATTTCCATTTCAAGTTCCAATTCTTCTCCCGCAGCACGAAGAGCCTGTTTCCGCTTAAGCATCAATCTTTCAGCCTTTAACTCTGCTAGACGGACTCTCTCTCGGTCTCTTGCAGACAACCTTGAACTTGCCTTAGACGATCGTTCAGATCCTTTGCTACTTCTTCCATCTAACTGATCAATCAAGCGGGCCTCAGCCTGTGATATCCAAGCGTGTAATGGGTGTAAATATGCCATCATATCTTCGACCTTATCCTTGTAATGGGCATGTTCATGGTCTTTATCCTTTTCCTGGGTTAACTCTTCATAGTAAGCTGAAAAGGCTTCCCTGTACTGTTCGATAAGATCCTTCAAGATCATTGTTTCGTCCTTTACGAGGTGCAAGTTGTTAACATCAACCATTAGCTGGGATATCTCAGTTCTCTTTCTGGATACAGATCGGAAAGCATTTGCGTATTGCCGTTTTAGTCTGTTGCGCTTTTCTTCTTGACCCTTTTCTGTCAAATTTCGTCTCCGCGGGCCTAGAGAATCTGGTAATTCGCCAGTGTTTGAAGATTGACTCAGAAATGGTTCTTCCATTTTTCTGTCTGTGTTTTTCTTCTTCAGCAGAACTGCCTCAGGACCTTATAAATCGATGAGGCATACAATGTAAACACAACTTTAGTTTAATCCACAGAAATTCATGTACACGCTGTCAATTGCTACCATTGATTTTCCTTGCAAACGATTCCTTGTGAACAATGTCTTGATTCGGTGATACGATAATGCGATGTGAACGTGATAGTGCAATATAGGCTTAACTGATGCGATGCGACGCGATGCGATGCGGTAAAGAAAACTAAAGGAAGAAACAGAAAACTAGCATTACAAAGGCGAGCTCGGGGCGATACGAAATTACAATACAATAAGGTAAAGCAGTAATTCTGAAACTTACATCTGTGTCCTTGTTCCGTTATTGACATAAACCTTAGTCCTTAATCCGTTCCTTGATTCCTTTTAACCGTAGAATGTTCAACTTAAAAACTAACACAGCGAAAAGCGTTCCGAAACGTTCAACTCGCGTGGTCATCCGGGACCGCTCGGTCCCAGGCCACCGCAACGTAAGTTTCTGTCATGTCACGCAGTGTCACGCGCAATGCTGCCGTGACAAGGTTTGCAGACTTTTTTTTACTTTTTATGCTTTTACTTTAATTTTTCTAAAAATGAGAAATAAGTCCCAAATATGAACTTAATACCCAGACCCACGGCTGGCATCAACTTTTGAGTCAACTGTATACCTTTTAGATGAATTGTAACAACTATAGTCCAGTTGACCCATAACATCATTGGCCATGAAACATACTCAGTTGTAGCAGGTGCTGCAGCCTGCAATGACAGCTCTACCAGGTCTACCTCCATGGAATGTTCAAGGCTAAATTGATCAATTATTTCCATTTGTAATAGGAACATGTATATTTGGATTACAGGAAATCTGAGAATGCCTTAACCCCAGACTTGATTTCTAGCCATTATGGGAGTGCGATTGTTGATCATTTTCCCAGCAATCATGTGGGCCAAGCAATGAATGCAGACTCTCAAAATGGCAGTAAATGAAGCCTACCTTAACCCTTCATACAAAAAACGATTCTAGTTTGCTGCTTATGCTAATTAGACATGATGTAAACCGTAAAACGTACCAGTATATTGTATGATCATAATAATTATCATTACATGGACAGATCGAAAGGTTTTGGAGGGAACTGCATGAAAGGTTGGAAAGGTTTTTCAAGTTGCCCCTGAACCAACTAAAAGAACAAGGTCAATATGATCCCCATGATGAAAACCACAGGTACTGAGCTAGACATATAGACATTACTTTCATTAGACATTACTTTCTTTGTAAGGTGCATTTGATCATATTCATATGTTAATTTGCACCTAAGAAATATTAAATATTATTATTATGCCATAATTTAGTTTATTTGAGCAATTTTAAAGCTGCGCCTCTATATTAATGAGAAAAGCTGACTGGTGAATTTAGTTTTCCTGCAACCCAGTATAATAAGAGAGAACCACTCTTATCCCTTTTGTTTCAAACACCAGCATTAACTGAACCACATGCCATATGCCAGCAAATTAATTGTAACAAGGAAATATATGGTTGCTATGGACAGGAGAGTCACGACCAAAGGAAAAATCCAATTTTCTATTTAAGTGTCTGTGTATGGCCACACAGAAATGCAGATTAAGAGCAGGAGTTTAAACACTTATCAATCTGCGTATATAGCACTGTGTAAGTATTAAACTGTCCAATTAAGAGAATTTTGCAAACAGAGCCTGACAGTACACATTACTTTTTCACAGGCTTCTCTTGGCATATGTGATGATACCAATAGTTCAAAGGGAAGTCAACACCTTTGTAGATGTGGTATGGAACAGTCACAGGATCCGTGAGCAAAAAAACACTTTCCTTCCTGATGGAGTGCCAAACCACATTTACAGTTTTCCAGAGAAATATGGACTGGAGGAATGTGGTAGGTATCAATGACTTTGTTCCCCGAGTTTCTCTTTTTAATTGGTAGTCCTGCTTGAGCACTACACAACTTGTAAGATGAACTAAAAAGAGCAAGAGTTGTACCCTTTAATTGAAAACCTGTTAGTGTGTATGCGAGAAATCAGATAGTGGACCTTGCAAAATAGATGTTGTTTTTAGGGTTTTCGACTCCCACAAAATATGGAAATTAAAATCCCGCTTTAAAAACAAATTACCCAAATACTGGTGATCATAAAAAAAGAAATCATAAAGTCATAGAATGAATTAGCGTGATTTTCATTCAAATACTTTCTTCTTTTTCACTGTTTGAGACATATTTCCTAAATAAGATGAATTTACTGCTTTTACTGAAAAGTTCTCACGTTCATTAAAAATGGAGTTATGTGTACCTATTTTGGAGGCTGGGAAGTCACAGAGGAACAGCTAGCAGAAGTTGCAGAACTTTCAGATGTGCTTGCTGACAATGATGACTATTTGAGTGCTGAGTTCAGGAATAAATGTGAACAAGTAATTGCTGATCCATTGGAGATTGATGTCAGTGATTTTGCCTATGCCTTTGGTTACCTCAAGGAAAATGTAGATACACATGTACATGCATAGCAAGAAGATGTAATGAGGATGTAGATACACCTGTACGAGCACAGCTATGATTATATACCTTTACTATGAAATTTCTTTTTGGAATAGCCTTTCAATGTTATGAGTAGCAAAGAAACATTACTTTGAGCAACATTGTGAACCAAGAGCATACCGGAGCCGCCAGTTCAAGCAGTTATATTAAGTCAGCTTGTTTTGCTTTTTAAGTTCTACAAACAGGAATGTTTAATTTAATTGCACATAGCATTCTGTATCCTAGAGCTCAGTATTGGTTAATGGAATAGCAACTTAGTAATACGGGCCTGTAAGTTGACAGGCCCCAGAACTGAGGCAGATGTGGTTCACATTGTTCAAATATAAAT